ACTTCCCTAGGTACTTGCTCTGGATGAAGGCTTTTCCACACTTGTCACACTTAAAGCATTTCTCAGTGTGCCTTGAGTTCCAACTCAAATCTTTCTCAGTTATGTTTCCTCTGGTGTGAGTGCTCCGGTGGCACTTCAGAGTTGAGCTGCAAATGAAGCGCTCCCCACACTGCTTGCATTCATACCGGGTCTCGACGCTGTGGGCCTTATGGTGCTGCAGTAGCTGTTCTTCATGGCTGAAGGTCTCCTTGCATTCAGCACAGTCAAAGAGCTTCTCTGTGGCATGGCTCAGCTGATGTCGAATCAAGTGAGAGGGGCGGCTAAACCTCCTGACACAAGCTGGACACTGGTAGGGCCTGTAGCCTGAGTGGATTCGCTGGTGCTCACTAAGGTGTGTGCTCCGACAGAAGGCTTTCCCACACTCACTGCATTTGTAAGGCTTCTCTCCACTGTGAACCCTTTGGTGGGTCTTCAGGGAGGAGGAATGGTTGAAAGCTTTACCACATTCATTACACTTGTGTGGCTTCTCTCCTGTATGAACAGCCTGGTGCTCAATAAGCAATGACCTCTGACTAAAGATCTTTCTACATTCTTGACATTCAAAGACAGTTTTCACAAAGTGAGTTTTTTGATGCTGCAAGAAATGTTTCCGTAAGTTGAAGATTTCAGGGCATGCAGCACATTCGTAGAGTTTCTGAGTATGGACTTTCTGGTGTCCAGCTAGATGAAAGGCCTGGCTGAATGTCTTCCCACATTTCTTACATCTGTAGGACTTAGAATTTGTAGTTTTCTGATGTTTAATAGGCTGTGGATGAAGAATGGATGGAGTGTCAGCACACTGACTCTTACACAGTTTTTCTGGGTCACTACTTTTACTAGTAGATGGTTTTTCTTGGTCCCAGCCTTGAGTGGTACATACTTTTGCTGAGTCAGCACCTTTACTCTGCTGCAGTTTTTGGGGCTCACCACTTTGACTCTTAAGTGGCTGGTCTAGGTTATCATTTTGCGTTTTACAGAGTTTTTCTCCAGTGTGAATTTTCTGATGCCACCGAAGGTATATATTCTGACTAAACCTCTTCCCACATTCCTCACACATGAATGACTTTTGAGTCACTGGGTTCATGAGAAGAACAGCACCCTTGCTGAGCCCCTGCTCCTGCTCTTGCCTTGAAGGAGGCTTCTCCCTCACATGGTTAATCCAGTGCTGGATGAGGTGGTAACTCTGGCTGAAGCTTTTCTCACACTCATCACACTTATAGAGCATCTCCTCTCCCAGGACAGGGTCCTTATGGCTCAAGTCACTCCTGGATTCCTTCGGTATCTCTGGTGTGAGTTTCTTTTCAGGAATATCAGACATCACAGCATCCTCTCTTGTGGAAAAGAGAGGCCCAGGACTGAGACAGCTCTTGAATTCAGGACTCTTGCAATCTGTGGGGCTTTCCTTGTTAGTAATATCAGATCTTGGAAGACTTTCTAGATCTTCTAGAAAACTATCTAACCAGTTCTCACCTATATAGCCTTCAATTTTGAGTTCCTCCTTGGAAAATGTCTCCATAATCTGGGATAGGGCGTCTTCTGAGAAGCTCTGTTGCAAAGGAGAGTTCTTGGTCTCTTCTGAAAGAAAGAGAAGAGAGAGTGTACAAATGCCTTCTGTTCCCTGGGTCAGTGGGACAACCATGCTGTGGGCGGAAACATAAACATGAGAAAAGTGTGTTAAGTGTGTGTCTGTCAGTGGTGTCCCATCTGGAAATGGCAGAAAGTAAGAAATGAAAAGGTCACACAGGGAGCTGAGAGCCTGCAAGGATTCAGCAGAGAAGAGAGCCTTGGCCATGATCATCATAACCATAAAACTAAGTTCACTAAAACATCTTCCAGGTATGCCTTCTTTCTCCTCCGTTCTCTATACCACACAGTATTGAGCTCTTACTCAAGACATCCTGGGTCCTTGGTGACTGGGAGATCTTCCTCCTGCATCCTGTTTTTCATGGGCCAACCCTTTACCCTGGTTCAGACACTAATTTCTTTCTGACTACCCTGGAATTGTCTCAACCCCCTTCTTTTCCTGCCTCCATCATCAACTAAAAAATCTGGTCCGGGGTTCTTGTTATCCTTCCATCTCTTTGTCCATTTTTTCATACTATCCCTGGGGAGCTGTATAATAAAGAGGGCTGACTGCATTACTGATTACACTCTTCCAGGGTATCTTGCCTGGAAAAGAGACTAACAGCAGCACATCAGCTCAGCATACCATGTAATGGCCCCATGGAAGCCATGCAGATCTCCCTTCTCAGTGCTATATAACTAGTTCCTTGGGCTCAAATACCCTTTTAGGTAAGACCCCTGCATCCTTTAGTGCCTAGTTGAGCATTACTTCCCCAGGTTAAGACTTCCCTGACCATCCCACACCTCATTCTGCCATAAATGTCCCATCCTGTAAGCTCTCTACAACAGCTGTTCAACCCAGGTGATGAGCTCTACTGTGGATCCTCCTCTGTCTTCAGTGTCAACCAGAACACACACGCAGCCACAGAAGATGATCACAGGTCAGGGACAGTTTGCATTTGTGGGGTGCGTCCTTGAAGGCACATGAGCCCTGCCCAAGATGGTTACCTCATTTCCCATAGTTAAGGGGAAGTGGCACAACAAGTTTTGTCCTTATCTAACCCATATTCCTGACCACCATAGCATGTGCTCTTAGGATCTTTCATTGCTGTCTCCATGCTGCTGTTGCCCCTCTCCTAACCTCTTGTGCCATCATCACTGTCCTCCATATCAGTACCTTCTATGGTTTGGTGGCTCGTCATTGAGTGAGCATCTCAGAGACTGATCAGTGTCTCTTGGACTGTGCATGACCCTTATAAACAACAGCTTTCAAAGCTATCTCTTGCACTGCACTATCTCCATGTTGCTTTCAGCCTACACTAGGCTCTAATTTCCTCTGTGCTTACATTGTTCCCCTGCATAGAGCATATCAACCAACAAGTGTTAGGCCCTTCTTGTGCTATGAATGATAAGGGGTCCGGGGAATACAGAGGTCAGTCAGCTAAGGACTTTTCATTACAGCGGCATCACGTTGCAGCAGGGAAAAGCATGAGTGATAGCGAAGCACAGCTGTTGCTATTGGAGACCTACACATGCATGCTTGCACGAGTGAGCATGTGCATGTTTGGCTGCCTATGCTTGGAGATAGTCGATGACAAAGTGGCAGAAGGGAACTCAGATCTGGGGAGTATGTGCCTAGGTTGTAGCACAAGGAAGGAGGCTGCACAGGGCTCACAATAATGACCTCCCAGTAAGCAAGGAACAGGGCTTTGGATTGTCTGGATGGGAGGAGCTAGACCTGTGCTCTCTGGTTCTGAGTCTCCTTTATGGTGACGGAGGAATACTGCATGAAGTCTCCCATGCCCCAGTATAGTCCCTCCCTCTTTTCTCCTATTGCAAACAGTTCCATCAGGCCATTGCATGCTGTAGAGACTGCCTAGGAGTGGAAATGATAGAGCAGCTGTGCCTGGCAGCATCAGGTTTTGGGCTTGACTTACTCTCAAATGTGGCTGTGCCTGAGCCAGAAAGAAGTAGAAGAGGTAAGCCAGAGGCACACATGCTCAGAGGCCACCAGGCATGGGGGTGCATAAAGTGACTTGGGAGTGGAAAGCATCCCCTTGCCAAGCCTGGAAGTAAAATTGCTCTGGAGAGGCACCAAGATGCCTGTTCTGAAGGCAGAGGAGAGACATAAGGACAACTGGCAAATGGTTGAGGCTGGGCATCAAGATGTGTAGAGTAGACAGACAAGCTAGGGGCTGGGCAGGGTCTCAGTCAGAAGCTGATAATGGAGAGTGCGCCAGGCCCCTTCTCCCACTCACCAGTACTGCTGGCTTCTGGGCCTCCTCTGACTATCGCTTCCAGCTCTTCCCTGACATCTGGTTGGGAAACCAGGCTGGGTCGTGGGGGGTCTGCTGAGAAAGAAAAGTCCTGTCATCAGAAGATCTGGAGGGCATCAGTGCTCAACAAGGACTTTCTGGCCTCTGCATCATTCAGATCTGTGTAGGAGATGAGGTCAATGTACTTCTTACTGTGGGCTGCAGCTTAAGAACGGAAAGACACTTATGTAAGACCTGAGTTGTTTCTGTAGCTGCAGCCGAGTGGCAGGGAGGAATGGCTGCTCAGTGCAAAAAGTCCCACGCGAGAGGGTCCCACCACACTCTCTTTCTCTTTGTTTAACATTGGGATAAAGTACTGTTGTTTCCTGGAAACGAAAGAATGGAGGAACCGCAGAAGCTGCATTGAGGATGAGGGGGTAGCACGCGGGAGTTGGGTGCTGGACAGGATGCCGTGCAGATGTGCCCTGAGTGTAGTGGGAAACTCAGTAGCGTCATTCCATCTGGTGTGAACATCAGAATGAAGCAGTTTTCTGGAAGCACTTAGACCTTGAAGAAATCACTGGAGGAAACAGTGATTGCTTTCTGTTATCTCCAGAGTTGTTTTTCTGAAGGAGCTTTACAGCCTTTGCATGACTGCAAGTCAGAAGACATCTCTGGAAACCTGGAACATCTTGTATCCCTGAGCACTTCAAGCAGCACACAACACCGACTGAAACCGCAATGGTGAGGCACCCCTTCAAGAGACATGGAGATTAGGTCTGGGTTTTGGTATGAGGGACTTGTTTTGCCCTAAAAATGACTTTTGTGTAACAATCAATAAATACACTTCTGCATGGATGTTTGGAGTTCAGTCCATCAGAGGCTGGACCAATCGCTGCCTGCAAGGCCTTATTTCATCCTGGAGTGACCCTCCTTCTTTGATCATCCCACATGATTACCAACATCTGGGGTAGAGGCCCTCTGCCTTCTTACCATGAATAAGAAGGTGGATTTGGCAGTCTTGACTGCTCTACCAGGGAGCAGAACCCATGCTGGCACAGCTGAGTGCTGAGAATGCTCCTGTACCAGCATGGTTTACACTGAAGTCCTGCCTTCTTTCAGAGACTCAGGAAGCAGGGTCCCTTGAGCAAGTACCAGCTCACTTCCTGACTTAGTAAGAAGTACTGCTGTGATAAAACACCATGACCAAAAGCAACTTGGGAAGAAAAGGGTTTATTTCAGCTTATAACTCTCAGATCACATTCCTTCACTGAGGGAAGCCAGGACAGGAGCTAATGCAGAAAGCCACGGAGAAATGTTTGTTGCTTGCTCTCATGGCTTCTTCATCCTGGTTTCTTACAGCACCCAGCACCACCAGCCCCGGCAGGAGTGACACCTCCCATGGTGAGCTAGGCCCTCCCCTATCAATAATTAATTAAGAAAATGCTCCAGCCGGATGCGGTCCACACACCTGTAATCCCAGCACTCAGGAGGCAGAGGCAGGCGGACCTCTGTGAGACCAGCCTGGTCTACAAAGTGAGCCCAGGACAGTCAAGGCTACACAGAGAAACCCTGTCTTGAAAAAAAAAAAAAAAAAGAAAGAAAGAAAGAAAGAAAGAAAGAAAGAAAGAAAGAAAGAAA